GTGTGTGTGTGTGTGTGTGTGTGTGTGTTAGAAAGAGAGGGGGGAGGGAGACAGCTGACAAAACTTACAGTCCCCTGCTAGTTTTGGTGGACAGGTGTGAGGTGGTGGATAAAGAAAAACTCCCATCATCCACCACGGTCATCAGCCAACGCACACACATTCATAGAGGAACAGAGAGCAGATGAAGAACTAAAGGTTAAATGGTTTTACATTAACTTCCACAACCACCTTGTGGAAGTTAATGCTCCACTGTCTGCAGCACTTACAGTCAAAGGTCAGTGTAGTTTCCGTGTTTGGACTTATTCAACATAATTTACAGGAAACCTGTTTTTAATGAAGCCATGAGGTAACAGACTATTTAATAAAACAACATAATACACAGGGCCCTGTGAAAACAGTGTTCAGTGATTATTTGATGGGCAGAACTGCAGCAATTAAACTTGCAACCTTTCTACAGCAGAATTTTCTTGTATACTTGTCCTTAGGGAAAACAACAAAAATAATCCTCTGCATGTCACAATGTGGCCAATAGAGTCACAAACCTCTACAGTGTTGGATGTAGAGAGACGTTAATTTCCATAATAAGATTTGAATGGCTGAGACCTCTGAAGACTAAATTCAGATTCAGAATTTAATATAATGTCCTTTCATGGCTTTGTCAAACTCTGTAATTAATTGATTGGTGTTTTATATCATCAGTTCAAAAATATAACAAAGTACTATTGAGATGCACAATTTTAATTCTGCTCAATTATGAAAACAGCTGATAAGCTGATAAGCTGATTCAGGTAATTTACTCTAGGACCTGCTCTGCTTCTTCAGACTTAAACACACACATTTTGTTGTGCAGCACAACGTTTGTGTTTGCGGCTACATCCACATCCGTTTTTATCCCTGTCCATGCTAACACACCTGAAAACACATATTACATGACCACGTTGTACTCATGCACGTATTGGTGTCCACAGGAAGCATTTGGTTGTTTGTTGCAGAAACAGCTAGGCTACAATCGAGAAGCAGAAATGTTGAGCCATGACGGTCAGCAACGCTTGTAGATGATTATCCATGTTGGCTTCTACACTGGTAGCTGAGGGTAATGCAGGTTGTTTTCCTCTGGAAGGGGGTCATGGGATAAGAGGCTGAAGAATCAGCGAAAGCTATGTCATGACCATAAAGACAAAATCACTAAGCGGTTGTGAGTGTCTAGGTTATCGTTTCCAAACATCTCAGTTTCAGTTAAGGCTTTCAGTGGCGACTTATGACAACTAACAGTATGAACAGGAAGAGTGTTTTTTGATCATGTCTAGTTTTCTGTTTTTGAATTTGTCTAACAACAAGCATTTCTCCTCCTGAGTTCCACTTGGCCTCGTCTTTCTTCATAAAACACATTCAAATCACCAACAACAGTAACTATTTGACTGCAACCTTTGAGCTGGTTCATCAAGTGTGGAAACCTGCTGCCATCTTTCTTCATCTCTCATGATCACTCACATTAGATTTTTGCAGTTGATAGAAACTTTCATAATCCCTTAACTTGGCAATATATTGACATTTTTAGTTTTCTCTACTCAGGATGTTTTTGGTGGGAGTGCACACCTTTCTGAGGACACTCATATACCTCTTTTACACCAACATTTGCGGGTATAGGCATGTTTTTTTAACTGCTGGCAAATCCACTAAATAAAGGTTATTGACTCCTTGCCAATTGCCAAAAGCAGTTTGCATTTATGAATTTTTTTGTCTGGTGGGTCTTGTTCGATGTCGCAATCATTTCTGAGCAGCTCTCTCACCTTGGTGTCTTGCCAGCGTGGCATCTTGCACGATATGAAGTAAAAAGTAGCTGTTGCACATTGTTCCCAAGATGTAGAAAGCAATAAGTACACAAACGTAAAGGGCTATTTATCTGCCAATGCCCAGAAGTTCAATCAGCGCCATAACATTGCGCAGAAAAGTGCAGGAACAGTGTCTAGACTGCCAAAGTAAAGAGGAAGAAGAAGAAATGAGTGTGTTCGCCTGACTGTCACATTTTCATCACTGCCAATCGGAGCTGATAAAACCTGTGTCTCCTGCAGAGTCATTTGACTTGGGAGTTAATGCTGATTGTATCCATCCCATTGCAGACAAAAGCCAGATTTTAGTGGGTGTTTTGACTAGTGGAAGAGGGGCTACATTGTATGGCCACATATACAGGACACGCATGTGCACAGATGGAACTTCCTCCTGCTCACATGACTGCAGGGGACAATAAATATTCCTGAGGGATAAAGAACGACTTCCTCTTTTCAGGAGAAAATAGACATGAGAAATGATGCAAAATAACAAACCCTGGTGAATGATCTCATCCAGTTGTTCTTGGCAGCTAGCTAAAGTCAGCCTGCTGGTTTACGTTTGTGGCTGCAGGGAACAAACTTCCTCTTTTAGTTTGCTGTGGGATACTTATCTCTACATGTCCTTACATGTACAGAAAAATTGCAGCTGCAAAACCCCATTGCATCAGAAGTGTTGTTCTGTGTGCAGACTTGAGGATGGATTGCTTATTGCCGGGTAAGGGGGCTTTTTAAAAAAAGAATCTCTGAAATAGTGTGCCCAAACTTAGAAATGGCTCCTGGTGCGTTGCTAGTGCATAGCTGCTGTGGTTAAGAAACATAAGGTCTTGCTCAGAAGCAGCGACCTGGGACTTCAGGCTAAAAGTTTACTACGAGACAATTCTGTTAAAGCTGCTTTTGTGTCTAGAAGATATTAAATGTAATACATCGCTGGCTGTGGTTCAGGTGGAAAAGTGACCTACTTAAGTGCACATCAGTGTAGCTGATGTTTGCAGACTTCAAACTTGCCTGCATGATATTTCTCATTCCTCCTCAGCAAACAACTGTTTACTAAGAGTAAATTACTTCTAACGTCAGGGTGCAGTTGGCCTCAGGGTGACTAATGGTATATGTGATGCTGCGCTGTCATAAAAAACTGTTTTTGCTGCACTCTCCGTGGCATCAATAGCATTTTAAGTTTCAGCGATTTTCTCCAAGTGAGATTTTCAGTTCTGCCCTTAGACCTTTTGGAACACACAAATAGTAATTGTTTGCCTTTGCAGTCAGCACAGACGGCTTTAGTGAGGACAGTTGGCCATTGATCCATGCAGGCTTTTCACACCTTCTCAAATTCCTGCATTGATGTTTAACAGACCTGCTTGTGTTTAAGAGCAGGGAATGAAAACATATTATTTTGGAAACATGGGGTTTAACAGCTGAGTGTTCTCACTGAGAAAATATTGACATGGAATTTAAGTTAAATCCCACAAAGATAATTTTTTCTTGAACAAAATGTCAAGATTTCTCCTCTAATTTCAAATATGTATTGTTAACATTCCTTCTTTTCTCTCCTCCTGTCAACCTCTGCCATTTAGTTGCTAAAAGATTATTATTGTGTCTTTCAGGATCTTCACAGTCTTCAGCGTTTCCCAGTTTGCCCAGTAGGACCGACAGCACCACCAGTTGTCCCTCCACAGCTCACAAAGACTCCAGCAGCGACATAGAGAGCTTCCTAAACATAGAACCTGGATATGACAGCGTCTTCAGAAAGGTCGGACACACTGCTGATGAATTTTCTTTTCATAGCCAGGGTTGGGTGGGAAAGTGCCACCTCCATGACAAACAAGGTGGACTGGTTTACCAATTACATTGATTTTACCAGCAGGGGAGATGACAGTCCACTCCCTGAAAATCAGTGTTGTCTTAAACATTTGAGATCAATTCTAATAGTGTTTATCTGAGGTTCAAATCCTTAGTAATATAAACTGTGTTGCTGTATGAGTTTGAACCAGTTTGTTTCAGAGCCCAGTAAATGTAAAAATATAATATAAATATAAAAACTAAATTTGCTGCGGTGTTCACCTTTAATGGCTCCAGTACAAACATACAGTACATTCAGTCAGAAAACATTTTGTGTTTGCCCCTGCAACTTGTCCTATAGGGATTATAGGCTGTATATAAAGCTATTTTGTCAGTCTGTGCTCAGCTACTTTATATATCAGCACCCAAGGCTGAGATGCCAAACATCTACTAAGCATCTTTTTTAGCCCAGCAGCTCCGCACTGCTGCTGCCAGGGAGGTGCAAGCCTGGGTCCCTACTGTCACTCGGCTCTGCTATTGAAAGTCTGTTTGAAGTCGGGCGCCCTTTGGTTAAAGTTGAAATACTGGTATTTTTCAATTTCTGCTGTGCTGAGCACTTGAAACATGCTTATGGTAAGTAAAACCGCATGTCCCTTTTTGTTGTAAACAACAATGGGAAGAGTCAGTGCAAGGAATCAGCTGCCTGGGAGTTTACAGTATGATGCTGAGAGGGGTAGAGCTCTGCAGAGAGACAATGACGGGTGAAATGTGCCATGAAGTCCACAAGCTTTGATCCCAAACAAAGACTTCAGCCACTGAATTCAGAGGATTGATGTCTCTCTGTAGGGAAATTGTCTTTCTCTTACATAATGCAGGACTGTAAATGTCAGTTTTATTGTAACTTTACATGCTCATTAATTATAATGTGAGAGGATGTGAGCAAATAAATAATCAAGTCTAAAACTTGAGCTGAATCCTCCTCTGAAGCGAAAGTCACACAAACACATAAACATACACTGCAGACACATGCAGACTGAACGCACGCACACATGCACGCATGCACGCACACACACAGACACACACACAAATAAACTCATGCGTCCTCTCTCCCAAAGGAAGTTGTGTGTGCAGCATAAAGCAGATCTTTCATCCCCACCCTCCCAACAGAGGCAGCTCTATGCTCTGCTCTCACACTGCAGCTGGCTGCACAATAGTCCCAGTTAAAGCTCACACCTACAGATTAGCTCTAAAGGGACTGTCCCAAACCTGTGTGCGCACACAGGAGCTGGTTCCCACCAGAGTCAGGCCATATTGCAATTACAGTAATATTTCCTTTCATAGTTATACTCATTACCTGTCACAGAGCTGTCAGGCAGGTAAAACTGGCCCTATCCACCATACATTTTGGAATGTATTATTCGCAAAGATGCATATTAGTTGACGAATATCGTATCACAATGACAGCCTTTCAAACAGGCATGTATAAACCTAGAAAAGACAGTTCAGAAACGTAAAAACATTTCCTGGAAAATAACATTTGTTTTCACATGGTAGCCATTATTTATTGGTGCTTGTTTTAATGTCAGTGTTGCTATAAATTGGCTCTGGCTCATTATCCCTCAGCCTTGCCATTTGGTCCTAATTATATGCCATTCCTGTGGGTTAAATAGCTCTTCCAACCTTCTCCTAATTCATCTCATGCGTCAGTGAAGAAATGCAAAGGCTACAGTGTGATAGGCTATTCTTTTCTTTACTGTTCTATTCTATTCTGCCCCTATGTGTCTGACAGAATTGAAACTTTATTGAAGTCCAATAAGTTATTTTCTTGTTCAGGGTTAAATGTTTCTGTTCTGCTGTGTCTGAGCAGAGCATGAATCTAACGCTGCCAATTATAGTTCTCTCTCCACAAAGGCACTCCTTGATTAAATGAGCGATGTAAGTGAGTGCTTAAAAAACACTACTTGTACAGATGTCTGGTCCCTGAAATAATAAATCAATAAACATTTTGTTGGAGTTTAACTCAGCCAATTTTGAAGTAGTGAAGCTATTCTTGCGGCTCATGGTAAACCATCACTTTTCTTTTACTTTGACAGTTCCCTGTCTGTACACAATGCAGGGCAGTAGGAATGTTAAGAATATAAATATATTGCTTATATTATTATTTTATTCTATTTTATTATTATTAGACTAATATACAGTATAAAGGGTTATATATATATATATTTATATATTTGTTATGTCTGCAGAATGATGAACCAGTGACAGGAGGAGACAGTGCCAGCGAGGTGTCCATCTCCTGTTCCTCCACAGACGACACCGCCAGCGTCGGCCCGTCCAGCTCCAGTCCTGAAGGCAGCCAGCACCTGGGCTGCAGCTGGAGCCCAGAGGACAGTGTTCAGACAGGGGCTGCTACCTCTGCAGGTCTGGACGGAGGTGGAGGAGCGGGAGAAGCTGAAGAAGAGGCCAAAGACAGAGTGACAGAGGTGCCGCGGCGCTCTTGTCTCCTCCGGAACAGCATCCGCTCCCTGTCGCCTCTCCGCCGCCACAGCTGGGGTCCTGGAAAGAACAACGGGGGAGACGCGGAGATGAATCAACGGAGGTGAGATTGTGAAGAGATTTAGAATAAAATCCATTCATTGAGATGAATGATTTCTTATTACATTGTGGACAAAGGTTAACTGATTTGGAGAGAGCAATGTTAGTTCTCTGTCCCAGACATTAGCAGCTTGTGTTACTCTGGTGTTTGTCAGAAGACGTCAGCAGACCTGATGATGGCAGATGTATTATTAGGACGTGCTGATGTCACTCCCTCTGTGCCATGTTGAGTTATTCATCCTGCTGTGACCAGCTGTGTTGCCATTTGTCTGATGTTGGTAGGGAGCTGCCGAATTTGTACACACACAGATGCAGGCGCACAAAGCGACAAGAGATACACACCTCAACTTGAACACACACTTAAAGCCACACACTTCTTCACACGCTCAGCATCACGTACAGTAGTCATCAGTTAACACATACCGCTTCACACATGTTGACACATCAACAATGTCAGAGCAGCAGCCTGTCGATGAAAGTCTGCAGAGTAGTTGCCTGGCAATAAAAGGCCTGTGACACGATGTTGGAGTGAAAATAGAAAAGCAACTGTTGTAGTCTCCTTAACAGCTGCTATTTTTACAACATTCAGGTTCAGCAGAAACAGCCATTGTCACCAAGCTTTCGTCTGCAGTCGTCACTTTTATCATCAAACTCGTGGCAAACAAGCAAACCAGTGTGTTTCTCAAAATCATATTAATTAATGATTAAATCTATTAGGATTGTTACTCTGGATAAATGTGATGTGTTACGACTCTTGCAACATGGTGGTGGCGTGTGCCTCAGAGCTACATCCTTAGAATATTTATAGACCCATCATCAGTAAAATAGAATGTTCATTTATTGATTATGCTCTTAATGAACTGCCATCCCCTCATATCCTGACTCATTCCACACATCATCCACCACTTCCTGTCTCTGTCTCATTGATCACCTGCAGTTCCATCCGTAGTCCTGGTGAGGGGAAGCCGACCTTTCACAGGAGAAGGTACCAATAAATCACATCAATCAGTTAAACACCGACTTGTTGCTAGGTGACATGTAATGACAGTTTTCATGTAGGTGTAACCTGTGTGTGTGTGTGTGTGTACGTCTGTGTGTGTGGATCTCCCACTTTGTTTTTAATGTATGCTGGCTGAACTTCTGCTGCACTGTGCTCTATCCCTGCAGGCTACCGCTCTGAAAAATGTTGCTCTTTTCACCCGCTGGAATGTGCACACTGTACTGTGGCAAATCTATGGTTGAGACACACTGGTGTTTTGTATTGCAGTGGCAATAACAAGCAGCCACACAGAAAGAGGGTAGTTTAGCTCTGGAGGCTCACAGGACTGTGTTGGCCAGAGACTGACAATAGAGAATTTTTTTTGGTGTACCAACATTCTGTAGGGAATTTTTTTAAACTGTGAAGACATCAGTGGAGTTTCGAGTTTAACATGGAGGAGGCGGTGTGCCACTGCAGTAAAAACAAGATTTAAGTTTCGCTGCTGGTGTGCAGAATGGTTAGATGTGAGAAAACTGCACTAAAGTCAAGCAGGAAAGAGAGAGAACGCAGCAATGAGGAAGGAGTCAGTGTCATCGCCCCCTGTTCAATTGCTGTTCATGTGGAACCCTTCTCCATTTCAGCCTTCAAAGTTTTGATAGTTAAGATCTGCACCTGCGGTGGCACCACACCGGCCTGTGCTTAAGGCTTGTGTATGCACCACAGCTGGTGACTGTTCTTCTTTAGGCTGAGCCAAACTATTGACCTAGACTTGTCGATGGTTATTGAAGATGGAGACAGTTTTGTTCCTGTAATTGGCCAAAGCATCCACACTTAAGGCTGATCGATAGATAGATAGATAGATAGATAGATAGATAGATAGATAGATAGATGGATAG